CCCCTTTTTTATTGCTGATTAATTAACCCCCCCCTCCCATTTTGCTTTTTAACCGGACTTTAGAGCTGTGCCTCTTGCTGGAGTGTTTGGATTTTTAAAAATTTATTTAATCCCCCCCCCCTTTTTTTTTTTTTTTCTCTGTAAAATAAGTCTGCGGGGACGTGTGAAGAATAGTTGTACAAGAATCTGGCTCTTTTGTCTATAAAGCAGCCCTCCCACCGCTCTCCCCATCCCTCGTCCCCCCACCAGCACAACCCTGGCGAAAAAAAAAAGAAAAAAAAAAAGAGAGAAAAAAAAGAAAAAAAACACTTTGGGAGGGACAAAACCCAGAGAAACGCAGCACCTCGGCGGAGAAAAAAAGGGGAAAAAATGGGAAAAAAAAAAAATAAAACCCATCATTTGAGGCTTTATTTCCTTTTCCTACCTAGGAGGAGGGCTGCGAAATGGAGCTGTGGTGCCCAGCGCGGGGATGGTTTTTAAGTACAAAGCGCCTCTTTTTTTTTTCTTTTTTTTTTTTTTTTGACAGTACTGAAGAAAAATAAGTATGCATTGTCTCTCCGGATTCATTGTGCTGGCGATTACCATACTGACCGTTTGGTAACCTGTACCTCGGCCCATTAGCAATCTGTGCTCTCCAGAAAAAAATGAAGTACCTATCTGCTGGGGGTTCCTTATCCCCCGTTTAAGAAGAATAGGAAAAGCGGGGGAAAAGCTCGCGGTGGCTGAACTCTGCCTCCTGGAGATGCGGGAGGTGGGAAGCAATTTTGGAGCCGGAGTTTTTAGCCCCAGCTTGTTTTAAGGTGATGACGGCACAATTAGTGGCAGGAGAAGTAAAAACCCCGCGCCTACATATTCATTTTTTATTTCATTTATATATATATATACACATAATTTTAATAGTTGCGTTCTCCGCGAAACGACACGCAATTAATTACATTTTAATATTATTTTTTTTTTCGCCCCTACCGACTTGCAAGCAGCGAGCGCAAAGGAGACCTTTTCTTTTTTTTTGTCCCTTC